GCAAAATTACCCCTGCCCCCCCGAAAAAAAAGAATGTTGAATGTCTTTTGAACTGGTAAGCTGTGCATTTTAGGCCTTGAGGCTCTGTTAGGGATAGTGTTGAAAGACTGAAAAAAGTTTGGGATACCTATGTCTGTCTTTCCGTTCTCTTTTATATTTTTGTCTGTCCATCATCTTATTCTGTCCTTGCACTAAAAGACCTCTCTCTGTTGGGGCGGCTTGTAACTTACTCTTTACTCAAGCAGTAGTCTGCATACAAAGCAGAAACTTTCACTCTGTGTATACACGCTTTGTCTGTTTTTGTCATGATGTGGGCCTATGTGAAACAAGTGTCATTAATTTATGAATGATGAATTTTTGTCTTTCTTCCCTACAGTACTGGGAGTTACAAGAGACTCAGAAAGGGTAGGTGTATTAAAAGATAAACTTGGATTTTAACTCTTTTATTATACCATGTTGATGTGGTTTGCTTTGCTCAAGTTGCAAACGAGCATTGCTAGTCTAGTATCTTCACACATACATGGACAAGTCAGAAGCATACCTTATTCGAAGTGGTTGATTGGCGGTTGCTCTGGTGTGGTTTGCTCCTTCTTTCCGATAAAAAATCTATCGTCTCTATCTCCCCTCCTTCATTTTTGTGTTTGTTACTCTCTTGTAACACCTCTAATCTTCGACACTTATATGACCTTATTATCATGTTGCAAGTACCGTAAAATTCCTACTAAAGCCTTATTTGAAATTTTGATTTCCTTAAATTATCATCCTGGAACAAAGCTTGATATATGATGTTAAGATAAAAGTGAAGGTATAATCCCATTGGAATATCTATCTTTGCTGGTCATGGAAGGTCACTAGCCGATGTTCCCCTTTCTTGTCAGACATAAACTGTGACCTTTGTTTATTTAGAAGATTTTAAATAAATGTGCATATTTATTTCCAGCTGTTCACTCGTTAATTTTTAAACTAAAACACATTTCTTAAGAGTGTGTTACTGATTTGCTGTTTACTTAAATTTAAAAGTGTTTCTGAACTTAGTTGAATATTCAAATATAATTATGTTTTCATTTTTCAGAGTGAGATCTCAAAGTCATACAGACAGCTGGCTAAAAAATGGCATCCGGACAGGCACAAAAAGCAGGTAAGTAAATGAAGAAGTAACAGTTATTTTGTAGTAATACTTGTCAGTTCAGATTAGAAATTACTTGGGGGCTTTCATGGTCTAGAGGTTACAGTGTTCGCCTCTCATTCAATAGGTCCAGAGTTCGAAACCTGAGAGTTTTCTTTTTACTCCCTTTCCTACTCTCCAAACCGTGCTCTGTCGTCTGCTGATGTCGTCAAGGTCACATGGTGGTCCAAAATCGATGAGAGTAGGTTTCGGACTCTACACGAGCAAAATTCAAAATTAATTCCTACCAAACTGAAATTGTTATAATGTGTCCCACGCACTCATATGACCTTATTATGCTGTTGCGAATACTGTAAAACACTTACAAAAACAAAAGAAATTACATCTCCTATTGCTGTAGTATATGCACAGTGAATATTTGAAGGTTATGAGTGGGTGGTTGGAGGGTGCCAAAGGTTGGTCCTATTTTTGTTCTCTCACTTTGTTGTTAGTCTTTTCTTCCTCGCATTTTCCCAGCAGTAAAAGTAATTGACTGCTATTGTATCTTTGTGCTTCTCTTTACTCATAACAAACTAATAATTTAAAAGTTATGAAATATGAATATTGTTAAGTTTGTGGCATATTGTTTGGAATGCCTCTCATGAAACCAAAGTATTTTGTTTAAAAACCCCTTCGTGATCTTATATGACGTACACTGTTCGTCATTTTTTCTTAACCGGTGAAGGAGCCGAGATGCTGCTGTAATGTACGGTGTTCGTCATGACTTTCTAAGCACGAGGACCATGATGACGAGCGCTGTTTGTCATAGGTTGTATTCTGGATACTGCTTCTATTAGATGTATTTCTTAAAACTAATCGCAGAATCATTTTCAGGAATATTTTTTCCGTACTGCTATGAAATCTTTTCCTTTTTAAATATTGTAACTTAAACAGTATTGGCAAACCGGGTCTAATTATAGGAATCTAGCCACTAAATCTAGCGCTACTCTGTTCCCCTGTGTTTCCAAAACTGTTCCCGGTGAAGCACGAACTGACCGTGTGTCATGAAGGGGTTATAGCGTGGCTACCCAGATTGCTGTCTGGCAAAGTGACTACAGTACCTTCCTCTTTATTTTACTGGACCGCTCTACAGATTGATACCATTGAATGACTCTTAAACTGTTGTTTAAGGGTTAAAAAAACCCTCAACTTTGTGCAACGTCTCTTGATTGAGAGATGGAAGTGCGTGCAAAAGTGTTTCTGATTTATATCAGGGAGCGGAATTAAGTATCGTAAGTACAAAACTGTTGTGAAAGTCTCACAGGTGTCATTGAAAAAGCTTTTTCTTTTTTTCTTATATATATGTGTATTAAAATTTTATCTTGTTTTTGTCAGTCCTACTTGTTTTTTTCCCCCTGGTTTTTCACCAATTTTTGTGTTCTTCTCTTCAGGAGGACAAGGAAAAGGCATCCGAAATGTTCCAGAAGATAGCAACTGCCTACGAGGTCAGTATGTTTCATTGCCTTTTCTGTACCGTAGCATTGTCTTTAACACTTTGCCTTCATATTTCGGAGAACATTCAAAGAAACTGGGTGGTAAATATCGCCAATCGGCGAGATAAGGCGGCAAAGTGTTAAACAACATCAGTTTATCGGCATAATCTAGTTGTTGCTTCACCCATGATCATAATAGGTTTTTTTTTCCCTTTTTTTTGTTTGAGTGAGTTTATGCTCTTAAAAATAACATTTGAGGAATGTTGAAAAAGGCTAGTATTTCATTTTACTTTGTGTGGTCATTCATCATTCATAGTACTAAGTGAATAGCTTCATTTTTTCCCTGCACCGTTATGTTACTGTCACTCTGCCTTTTGTCTTTATGCCCAGTAGGTATTGTTCTTGATCAGTTATGGCTTTTAAAATGTGTTGTGTCTTTATTTTTAGTTCCTTGGATTTTTGTTTTATACTGCTGTTTGTTAGCAGCTGCGAGAACGCTTTTCTGCACTGATATTATAGTTGTTTTCTTCCCTTTGTTCTTGTCTTGTCTTTATTTTGTGTGTGTTTTTCCTGGCGTTGTCTGCTCTCCAAGCCTTTTTGTTAATGGTTTCTGTACATGAAATGTTAGGGTACATATTGTCGACTTTTGCATCTTGTAGTTCCCACTTCTTTTCCTTATCTCTCATTGCTGACTGTCTGTTTCATCTTTTCTCCACTCTAGATGTCTGTTAATATTGTGACTGTGTACTTTGGTACACTCAAACAGTTCTTTCCTGAAGTTTCAATAATGATACTTTCTTGTGTCCTCAGATCCTCAAAGATGACGAGCAAAGAAGTGATTATGACTACATGTTGGACAATCCAGGTAATTAAGAAAAGTTCATAGGTTAAGGAATCTAAGAGGTGACCAGCTTTGCTATTTCCTTTGCACTTTTGATAGTCAAAGTTGTTCTATAGTGATGGGCTTACGATGTGTTTCTTATACTTGAGGTAATTAATCATAGGTAGTCTAGTGGTTAGGCTACTGGGCTGGTTTTCACGTGGCTGCAAGTTTTGGGGTTCGAGCCGAAGGCCGGACGTTGTGTTCTTGGGAAAGGTACTTTACACAAATTTTCCTCACTTCACCCAGGTGGAAATGGGTACCCAGCTATAGACAGCGAAAGATTTTGTCAGTATGTTAGTGTTTTAGCGCCTATAAATAGCAGCTTGCTCTGCATGCTTCCCAGGAAGTTGAGATTGTTTCAGACTGCTATGAGGTCCGCTGGGGTAATGGTATAGATTGTAAAGCGGATAGAGCTTGCTGTTGAGTGGGAATTTGCGCTATTCAAATGCTATCAATATTATTATTTTTATTATTAATTCGAGTCTTTCTTTTACTTTATATAGTTTTTGCTCTTGAAGTCTTGATACTTTTAATTAACATGTAATGACTTAATCATTGTTTTTGTTGTTTACAGATGAGTACTATGCTCATTATTACTACTACTATCGCCGGCAAATGGCACCCAAGGTGGACGTACGCATTGTCATCGCAGTCGCCATAACTGTCATTTCGGTGATTCAGGTATGTGCTGACAAGGGGATGGAGAAAGTATTACGTCTGTTTGTTTGTTTTTAACACACTGGATGGCTCTCCCTGGGTTGTGTAAAATGATAATGTTGCAAAGGTGCTTTTGCGGAATATTTTTTTCAATTGCCAGGGGGGAATGTGGCAATACTTTGAGTTGGATGGTCCCTTGATCTGCTTTTTGGGCCTGATATGCTAGCCTAATCTAAAAAATCAGGGTAATGTTCCATGGGGGTTTTGAAACACAGTGTGACCCAATTTGATGTTGTTTTTGTGAGATTGTTGTGAGATAAATATCTCAATGAAGATAAATAATTTTGCCTTTTCATTTTTCATATATATTTCATCTCTGTTTGTTTGACCCAGATTGTTTATATTTGTCTTGCTGAAGGAAAATTGTTATCATGAGTTGTTATGATTAAATATGTGGTGGGCAGTTGGGGGGGGGGGGGGAGCCTCTGATAGGTCCTATTTCTCTACGGCTTCCTCTATTTTTTCTCTTCTGTTTGTATTAGTTTTTCCCAGCGCAAAATATATGACTGAGTTAACGTGTCTCTGAAAGCTTTAGACTCAAAACTTGTTAAATCAATGTGTTACTTTGCTTCTTTTGCAGTATTTGGGAGGTCTTAGCAACTACAACTCTGCCCTAAACTATCTGTGCAAAGACCAGAAGTACCGGATGCGAGCCATGGACATTGCACGGACGGAGGGCTTGCTAAATAACAACAAAAAGAAAAACAGAAAAGGAAAGGTATGTGTACTTGTTCAAGATAGATGAGTATTTTTTATCATCGTATTCGCGTATGTGTTAGTTCAGCTTTCCTTCTGCTTCTGCTCGGATGATTGATCGACTATCACATTTTTCACATACAGTAATTGTCACTCTTCAATAGGGTTACAGTTATGATTATGCCACCGGCAGGTCTGACCTTTTTTTTCTTTCCCTCTGTTGTTTCTGTCTGGTTTATCTTACAATTTTTTTTCTTGCTCAAAATGACAGTTGTAATGTTGATGGGCTTCACCTTACTCAAAATAGTTAAGTTTGCCCCTGATAGTGATACCTCTTTTCAGAGAGACTTTTATTCTAACCTGCTACTAGTCAAATGTGTCTCTCTGTCATAACACCCTTTGGGTGGTTGGTGAGTATTCTGGTTTGGTTTGCTCCTAGTTCCCTATCAAACATCTACCATCCTTTACTCTCTTGTAACACCTCTAATCTTTGGCACTTATATGACTTGATGTGTTGCAAGTGCCATAAAACTTTTACTGAAACAAACTACTCTTCAGAGAGACTCCCATTCTAAACTCAACTGCCACTTGTAAAATGTGTCTCTTTGTTGTGATACCCTGTCGTTTTCTGCTACTCACCTCCTTCTCTCTTTCTTTCATTTTAGTTTTTTTAAAAAGTTTTAGTAGAGGTTTTACAGCACTCGCAACTACATAAGGTCATGTGAGCGCCAGAAGATTAGAGGTGTTACAAGAGAGTAACAAACATAAAATGAAGAAGGGGAGAAAAGGACGATAGGCGTTTGATAGGAAAGAAGAAGCAAACCACACAAGAGCACCTGCCAACCACCCACTTTCCTTGTCTTGATATCCTGACTCGTTTTCTGCTTAGTCATCTCCTTCACTCTTTCTTTCATTCTCCCGCAGGAAGAAGCCAAAGAAGAGGAGGAGGCGATGATACGCAAAATCATCGAGGAGAACATGGACATCCGGGGCGGGTACCGCAAGCCCAAGGTGACGGACGTGCTATGGGTGCAGCTGGTGCTGCTCCCGTACTGGCTGTACAAGTACGTGGTGTGGTGGCTGCGCTGGGTCTACAAGTTCAACATCAAAGGAGAAGAGTACGGGGTGGAGGAGAAGTTTCACATCATACGCAAGTTCCTGGGGTTGGGCCAGGCGCAGTGGGAGGTGAGTCTCTTTCTCTTTCTTTCTTTCTGTCGCTCTTGCTCTCTCTTTCTCTCCCTCCCTCCCTCCCTTCTGGCACTGTGGCGTCTCAATGCCGACAGCAGACAAGAACTCAACACTGGCTTGTGGGTCCTTGAAAAGTGCTGAACGTGGGTGAAATGTCCCATCAGACATGTTTTGGCTCTGGGAAGTGGGGGGGTGTTGACTTTTGTACTACGCTCCTTATGTTTGTTAGTCTCCATCTGATTATCTGAATCATAGAAGGGTGTGGCAACTCTGAAATCAAAGCAACGAATCAGCGAATGACAGTTGAAGAATTGTTGAAAAATGTGCTTTCCTCACCTTGCCAAGAACACTATCAGTTGATGGGTTGTTGGTAGGTGATCTAGTGTGGTTTGCTCCTTTTTTCCTATCACACATCTATAGTCCTTATCTCTTCTCTTCTTTTTTTTTTTGTGTGTGTTTGTTACTCTATTGTAAGACCTCTAATCTTCAGCACTTATGTGTGTGTGACCTAATTGTGTTGCAATTACTGAAACGAACTAAGATCTTTTGGCCTGTGACTCTTCTTCGCTTTTGTCCCCAGTTGTGTCCATCAGTCTTTTTATACCCCTGTACTAACCATATATGTAAACATTTGAAGGTGCGGTGGCAGAGCGGTTAGTGCGCTCGTCTCCGAAGCGGAAAGTCCAGGTTCGAGCCTCGGTTCGGACACAGATTTTTTTCGCCCCCTCCTGCCCACCCACCAGTAATGGGTACCTGACTTTGACTTGGGGAAGTAAAGGCGGCTTGGAAAGGAACTGGCCACCCTACCACAATATGCCGAAGGCCCAGGAAGTTGTCCCACTAACAAGGCAATCCCCAATGTCCAGATCGGACGCGGGAACAACTTTACTAAACATATATATCTTTTTACTCAAACTTTGAGCCAACATTGTCAGTTTAATAAAAAAAAAAATCATTTGGAAGATCAATGTAGGTGGTTGGCGGATGCTCTGGTGTGGTTTGTCCTGTCTTTCCTATCAAACAACTGTCATTCTTATCTTTCCTTTCTTTTGTTCATTATTCTCTTGTAACACCTCTTGTCTTTAGCACTTAAAATATATGACCAAATTGTGTTGCAGGTGCTGTAAATTGCGCACTAAAACAAAAGAAGATTGTAAATTTTATGATATCTCAGATTTCCTGATCCTATGAAAATAGAGCTGATGATGTTTTCTTATTTTGTCTTGTCTTTGATCAGAGTGTGACGGAGGAGGATAAAGCTGAATATATGGACCATGAACTTTGGATAAAAGAAAATTTTACGGTAAGTTTGTCGCACACCTATCAATAGAAAGTCTTATTAAAGATAACAGCGGGTGCTTGGCAGGTGCTCTGGTGTGGTTTGATCCTTCTTTCCTATCAAACGTCTGTCGTCCTGATCTCTCCTACTTCTTTTCTGTCCTTGTTACTCTCTTGCAACGCCTCTAATCTTTGGCACTTGTTTGACTTTATTGTGTTTCAAGTTCTGTAAATCTCTACTAAAATTAAAGTAAACTATGAAAGATAACAGACTTCTGGGCAGGGAAAACACCAAAAAAAAACCCCAATAAAAAAAACAAACAACAGAAGTCCAGCAGACTCATATCTTTCTGCCAGATGTTGTTTGAGTCGTGTGTCACAGTTTTCCTTTATTAAATTTTTTTTTTTTTGAGGTGTGAACAATTTCAGTGTATTTGCTGAATTTTTGAAAAAACTGACGTCTTTGGTTTAGCGGATAGGCTAGTTGCTGCCGCACACAGAAGATATGAGGTGGGTTCTAACATCATGAGGTTTCTAATCAAGTACTTTTCTGCTGAGACGTTATTTCCGTCTCTGCCCGTGGGTGGTTGGCGGGTGCTCTGGTGTGGTTTGCTTCTTCTTTCCTCTCCAACATCTATCGTCTTTATCTCCCCTCCTTTTTTGTGTTTGTTACTCTCGTGTAACACCTCCTATCCTCGGCGCTTATATGATCCCTTATTGTGTTGCAAGTGCCGTAAAACTCTTACTGAAACAAACGTCTCTGCCCAGGCTGGCCCCTCACAGGCAGAGTTGATGTAGCCCACCCCATAAACTTTTGTCACGACTCTGTGGAATCAGGCCCTGGTCTATTTTTGGGGCATATGGAGTTATTCGTATCATCTTAAAGGTTATTCATACGCCTTGCTTTCGATGAAAAAAAATATCTATTTGTCTTGAACAGAAGTCCAGATATTTGTGATTGAAGGAGGTGGGGGGGTCGCCTGGTTTCAGATGTAAAATTAGCGAGAAAACGGCCGTGAAAATTTGTTGACTTCCATAGCTTTAAGAATCTTTTGAAACTGGAAATTTATGCTTTTTGTGCCTTTAATCAAGTTTTTTCTATAAAATCCACACATGAAAGTGTTTGTGAATGGACATACAAGGTGTTGAACCAAGACCAAAAGTCTGAAAAAAACGTCCAAACTGGCCGAAAAATGCAATTTTCTCACCTTTCAAATATTTTGACGAGCGCCTGATTTCACCATGATGCCTCACAAATGGTCTAAATTGCGTTGATAGGGCCGTATAGCTTTCACAAAGTCAGTCAAACCTTTTCTAACAACCACCTGTACAAATGGCCACTTCCGTCTTCCTCCTTGAGTTTTTTTTCTGTATTATAATGATAATAACATTGTCAAAGACAACCAGCTGTCTAAGAGTGGTCGGTTGGCAGTTGCTGTGGTGTGTCTTCCTCCTTCTTTTTTATCAAACATCCGTCGTCCTTATCTCTCCTCCTATTTTCTTTTCTTTTTTTTAAATGCATTTTAAAAATCTGCTACACTTCTAATTTTCAGCATTTATATAACCTTATTGGGCTGCAAGTGCTGTAAAACATGTACTAAAAAATAATAATTCGAAAATTTGTTTAAAATGCTGTCGAAAATGATCACTTTTCTCCTGGGCAGTGGGTGGTTGTGTTGTAGAACAGATTTGTCTGTAGTTATATATACTGAACACTTTTCCACCCCATTGGGTTAGATGGTAAATGGTCGGCCTACTGCCCAGCAGGAAATGTTGATTGTGATTCTTTTTGTGGGTGGTTTGCGGGTGCTCCGGTGTGGTTTGCTCCTTTTTTCCTATCAAACGTCTGTGGTCCTTCTCTCTCCTCCTCATTTTTTTGTGCATGTTACTCTCTTGTAACACCTCTAATCTTTGGCACTTATATGACCTTATTGTGCTGCAAGTGCCGTAAAACTCTTATTAAAACTAACTGATTCTTTTTACTTAAACTCTAACATTTGTACTGGTGGAATAGTACACGTGTGTAGTTATCCTCAGATGTACACGTGTCATATTTACAAATGTGTGTCCTCCTTGCTGTTTTTCTTTCTATTCTGTGGATGGTTGGCGGGTGCTCTGGTGTGGTTTGCTCCTTCTGTCCTATCAAACAACTATCATCTTTATCTCTCCTCCTCTTTTTTATGTTTGTTACTCACTTGTAACACCTCTAATCTTCGGCACTTATATGACCTTATTGTGTTGCAAGTGCCGTAAAATGCTTACTAATACAAAAATCGTTCTATTCTTAACTTCTTTTTCTTTATTTTTCCCCATTAGTAGATAGATGTGGAAAGCGCCACTGGTAGATCCTACTTCTTTTATTACCCTCTGTTGTTTCTGTCTTGCTGTCTTGCTTTTCCCCTGCACTGAATGACCGACTCCTATTGAGTTTCTCTTTATTGACAGGAACAAAAAGTTTTCACTTTGATACACACATTTCGTGGCGTCGGTAGCCTAATGCCTAGTGGTTAGGCTATCGGACTAGTAATCGTGAGATTGCTGGTTCGGGGGTTCGAGCCCCAGCTCGGTCCGAGGCTGTGTCCTTGGGAAAGGCACTTTACACGAATTTCCCATTGGGCTCGGTCCTTTCGGAGATGGACGTTAAACTCGAAGGCCCCGCCTCTTAAATAACCTAGTAGTGTTGATAAGGGCGTTTAACCTATACCATTTCACCATTTTCACACCCATTTCTGTCTTTTATTTCAGGTTTGGAAAGAAGAAAAGGAGGAGGAAATGAAGCGAAAACTTGCGGAGAACAATAGATACAAAATGTACAGGAGGTACATGAAGAAAGGTGGAGCCGGGCAGATGACTTTTGGCCCCGAATAACAAATTTGGCTTGGAGACACTGTCGTAGATTTGAGCTGAAGTAGCTCAGCATTTATTACTCTTGGTATCATTTATGAAGAAATGGAAGCATATCTCTCTCGTACGAGTCACCATGTCTTGTCTCTACACCTTGCCATTCTGTAGTATGCTGAAAGATCTTTAAAGGATTTGAGACTTGGGTGGTTCATGGATGCTCTGGTGTGGTTTGCAGATGCTCTGATGTGGTTTGCTCTTTCTTTCCCTATCAAACATCTGTCATCCTTATCTTTCTTCCTTTTTTTTGTGTTTGTTACTCTCTTGTAACACCTCTAATCTTCAGCATTTATATGACCTAAATGTGTTGCAAGTGCCGTAAAACTCTTGCTGAAACATTTCTGAAACGGGTTGCTTGTTGTGGTTGTTGGATGCTGTGGTGTGTGGACTGCTTCTTTATGCTTCTTTTCACTCAGTGAGGCTGGTGGTTGGAGGGCGCTACAGGTAGGCCCTAACTTCTTTATTTTCCCTCTATTGTTTCTGTCTGTCTGTCTGTTCTACTTTTTCCCCAGCACTGAAAGACCATTACTGTGTTGATTTGTTTCAGTTTACTCAAACAAACAAACAAACAATCACTCGGGTGTTACTTTTCGTCCTCCTGTCCTGTTGTTAGTTGTACGCTGTAATACAACACCTCTTTTGGTCCTCCTGTCCTGTTGTTAGTTGTACGCTGTAATACAACGCCTCTTTTCGTCCTCCTGTCCTGTTGTTAGTTGTACGCTGTAATACAACACCTCTTTTCGTCCTCCTGTCCTGTTGTTAGTTGTACACTGTAATACAACGCCTCTTTTGGTCCTCCTGTCCTGTTGTTAGTTGTACGCTGTAATACAACACCTCTT